AGCACTTGGAAACGGAAATTGGCATGGGCGTCGTAACGAATATAACGAGAATGACGACTACAAAATCTAGGATACGGTTTATGACAAATTGGAATTTTAAATTCATTCGAATGAGCAAGCTATAGAATATTGTCTCGTGCCTCATCTACCATTGCCAAGTCACTTTAAGACATGCGATTGAGGCGTACGCGACAGCTAATCGTGAACAGCGCAATATTTCATCATCTCAGATTTAGGTTTAGATTTTCCCAAGCTTCTTCGCCTCAAGCGTCACCGTCTCGGGTAACGTATCCGGCAAACTAGGGCTCTTAGGCGTCCACCCTAGATACTTCTTCGCCCTAGCAGCCACGCTCTTCGAATTCGTTCCAAAGTTCGGGAAGTCGATCTCCTTAGCAACGGGCTCGGGAATCAGCTTCTGCCTCGCGGCCTCGAGGGCGATGGCTCGGGATACGTCGGCCCAGCGGTGCATGCCGTTCTCGAGGAAGAAGTATGCTTTGGGCCCGTAGATCTCCGGGTTGCTGTTCTTGGAGGAGTCGAGGGCTGCGTCTACGGCTAAGACGAAGAAATCGCCGAGGTCGTGGATGTGCACGTTGTCCCACTCGGTTAAGCCGGGGGCTTGGATCGGCGCGTACCCGTGCGTCAGCGTGTACTCGATTAACCCCGGGACCTGGATGCTGCGTGTGTTCAGGGGGCCCCGGCCCTGTCCGTAGATAGTAGGGGGTCCGACGATCAGGGTCTTTACGGAGGGGGAGTTAGCTCCGAGCACGATCTTATCCACGTCACGGTGGATTGCAGTGTCCGGTAGCGAGAGGATCCGGTCGATGTCGTCGATATCGTGGTATTTCTGCTCTGGAAGAGGAGCTTGCCCGTACCGCTTGTTGTCGGCATCGTACCAGGTAAGGATGCCGGTCCCGCAGAGATGGATCCAGTACCCCGGCTTCTCCGCCGTGTGCCCCGCTGCTAGACCCTTGGCGATCGCGGTCGCGGATGGGCCGTTGTCGGCTGAGTCGGCCGTGTCTATACGATGTTAAATGCTGATCTCATTTCATCTTCACCTATCAAAAATGAAGTAAGCTGGGTAAGTCACTTACGAACTACAATGTCTGCCGCAGCAGCCTCCTTCTCAATAACATCGGCGGAGTCGAGGGTGCCGTAGACGAGGCGCGCCTTAGGGTAAGCGGCGGCGACAGGCTTTCCTCGCTCCTCGTTCCGTACAAGGAGGGTATACTCGAAGTCTAGGTGGGCCTTGACTAGCGAGTAGAGGGCATCACCGCCGATGTAGCCTGTGTTTCCCTAGCGTTCAGTATCTCAGATTAAAGACTAACGAGCCAACATTTGCCTACCAGTGGCACCGGTGCTGTTACGAACTATTAGCTCTGATACCAATTTTTGCCTTATTGGCACTTACAGGAAGATCTTCGTAGGCATTTTACTGAGTTTCAATGATGTAAGTCACTATATAATTGCTTCTGTGAGTTGAAGACAAGACTAGGGATTTCAAGCAATCTCAACACTTCATTCAGTAAGGTACTAGGTAGTTATAGTTGAGTTTCACAGTATTAGTTATTTATCTAGAAGATGCTAGACTTCCACTATTATTACGTAGTTATGCCGAGAAATATTGCTCGGTTACGCCATCCGGGTCATGAATTCATCGACGTAGCTTCCTATTTCCCCATCTTCCCCTCCCCCACTCTTGATGTTGCACATGAGGAGATCAATAAAAACTGATTGAGACAGGGAGGCGCCATGCAGATGGCTTGCATATTCTCCAGTTATTTTTATTTCTGTGCATTATGCTTTTTGTGCTGACTATGCATACGTGTATTATGTAAACGGGGGAGAATTTTAACCCGTATCAATTGTGCCGTCTTCCCCAAGATCTTACAAACTTCGCCTCTGTATGTCTTATACCGTAAGCAAACATCTCAAGTGTCACAGACATAGAGCCAGTTAGAAAGCAAGTGAGGCGTTATTCAACATTCGATATCTACCTAGTTCTGGAAGATCTTCTCCGGTGCTTTGCAATCTGCTCTCCTAATAATCCCGAATGACAAACTGGTTGCTATCCCTAGGTCCTAGGATTTGAATCTTCGAAGAATGGAAGAATATCACGGCGACTTCTAAAATTGAGCAGACACCTCTTTAGTAGCATCTCTGAGACTAGTTTCGAAGCTCGTCCACCCGTGTCCGGTTATTCTCTTTAAAAGCTCCTCGGCTCTTTCATTGGTAACGGTACTCTTCTCCACTGCCGCATTAGGTTCCTCCTCGCCGAACTTGCGGTCCGGGTAAAGCTTCTTCAAAGTCCTCAAGATGTCATTTGCGTTAAAGGGGTGAGAAAAGGCGAATATGCGCTCGTTCTCTACGTCGGGGTACACGAGCGCAGCGACGTGCAGTGCGGCGTCGTCGCGGACGTCAACGTAATACTGCGGCGTCAATCCCAGCAAGTCCTGTTTTGCGTTCAACTTCTCCCCTTTCTCAAAAGCTGTCTTCATCCAATAGAGGGTGCTCCGGTAGCCCTGGTGGACTGCGTCGATTGAAGGACCCAGGTTGGCATTAGGCAAGACCGCGTTGAAGATAAAAGACGGCTTGTGCTCTCGCACCCAGTTCCACGCTGTCTGTTCTTGTCTGGTCTTGCTCGCAGCGTAGACTGCCCCAATACGGTGCGGGCCTTCGTACGGGGGTGGCGCGTATGCTGCTTCAACCGAGGCCTCGTTCCACATGTCCGAGTTGATTGCGAAGACTTGGGTTCCATCAAGGGACGCGCACGCCGCCGAGGAAGAAGTCAAAACGACTCTCTTTATTTCCGGCTCCTTCGCAGCCGCTTCTAGGAGGCGTGTCATGATTGCTACGACGGAGGGTATGATGGCGTTGGGATCGGGGCTTTTCAACACTGGCGTCGCCACGTGTACTACACCAGATACCCCTTTGAGGACTTTATCGAAGGCACCATCTGCTAGCATGTCCGACACTTCAGCTAACTCGAACTTGTCAGGGCCGTACTTCTCCTCAAAATGTCCCGTCAACCATTGATCCCTGGAAATGTCACGGACTGTGCCGCGCACGCGGTACCCATGTTGTAATATCTGGTCAACAATATGACCAGCGATGAAGCCGTTCGCGCCCGTCACGAGCACGAGGGAACCAGTTTTGATGGCAAATTCAGACATGGTGAAGTTGTTGAGTAATTAATGACGTCGGTTCATTTGCCCACTTTAACAATTCCCAATCGGAGATAAGCCTATGAACTCGGAGGTATTGAACGACACGGGTAACTATCCGACACTAAGAACTGGCAATTTATTATGTCTTATAGTTGTACACGTCGGCAGGATACTGACGCCACGATAACGCCAAAGTGTTCCAGATTAATAATTGCGTTCCTTCCGAGGTCGTTACTCTCTGCCAAGTTACGCTCGCCCGCGATGTAACACTATTACAATTGAGGAATAGCCAAATTGGCCGGTCCTCGACATCTCCGGCTTACCCTGGAGTTTAAATTCAATGCCGTCCCGGGACTTGCCGTCGGAAAACGCACTCTTCGACTCCCCGCAGAACCTTAACAATTTCCTTAAACGTGTCCTCGCAACAATTCCGATTGGCAATTGTCTCGGGATAAGACATCGGAATTTGGCTGCACCAGTGTGGGCTAACTAACTAACCGATTGTGACTTGTTGGTCCATCATGCATTACAAATCGGGAATCGCGTACCGTACGTTGGGTGACCCTCGGGAGACAATAAGATCCCGGGGTCAATTAGCGCGATTGTACGCCGCCGGACCCGGACCAAACTTCACCTTCCGACATAGATAGATATGATTCGAGTGTCACGTGAATAACTTAGACGCAATTGGTTGTATGAGAATGAATAATTGACAAGTTAGGTCGTAGTGTGAGTAATCCCGAGAGAATTCGGAGACCAATGTCAGGAATTAATAAGACAAACTGGTCAAGGTAGGTACGCAGGGGACTCAACAGCATACATGCTATAATTGGGACTGCATTATTAGAGGTAATAAATAGCTACGGTAAAAGATCCTTAAATTAGATTCTTTGTTATACATCGCAGTTATCTATACATTACGGAGTTTCTGGGTCTACTGTTTCGTTAAGAAGAACAGGCTTCATGTTTCCTAATAGCCACATCATCTAAGTTACTCCCTTAAATCATGATATATGCCTTCCTACCTACCTTTGAGTAGAGTAACGCTGGTGTGCCGTTTTAAAAGCAAGATATGATTATGAGGCTGCATTTCGTCCTAAAATGACGGCGACCGCTATCTAAATCTCAGAATCGCCCGCCCTTTACGGGATATCTACCTATATCCTCTTCATTGGAAGCCCACAGCTCACAGGCAAAGGAAAAATAATTTCAGTTCAGAAATATCGCATGAAAAGACCTGTTGTGTATTCTGTGAGTTCACTATTCACATTTTCAGATTTGGCCGAAAGTCGTTATGATCAGTCTCAGCCCTCAACACCCTACCTTATAGATAGAATTTACTGTGGCTGAGCCATATTCTCTTTTTAGATGTCATAAATTCCAGTGGCCTTTTGTTTGAACTCTCTAACCGGCTAGAGAACTGAAAAAGTGCTCAACAAATATGTCGTGGACGGAGCACATGTTAGGAACCAACCACATTTTAGGATTTTGACCCACTAGGCCACGACCCGGAAGAACTATATTCCGGGGGCCCTAGGTACATAGGTACTTCAGGACAGGTCTGAATAGCCTCATTACATTTCTTTATATACGGGACAGGGTCCCTTATTTCCTACTGTACTTAGAAGCTTAGACAGTAGTCAACTTAAGCTTATAGCCACTCTTTGAAATACTATAAGGAAGTCCTCATTAGGCCTTCTAACGATCACTTATTTTCACCTCGTTGTTACCTGCAAATCAAGACCCCTAAGCGATAGATCGTTACAGCACAGTTCAGGGTACAGTGGACCTTCGCGGTTTCCTTAATAACCCTAATTATTCAATAGTATTACTAATTGCCCATTGGCCCAGTGGTTAAGGCGTCTGACTGTTATTTCTTCACATTCAAAAAGAGTGATAGCAGAAAAATCAGAAGATCCCTGGTTCGACCCCAGGATGGGCAGTTTCTTTTTTGCTGAATTTTTGAAATTTGTGTGTGGGCTATGACCACCTACTACCTAAAATTTGCACAGGCCTTATAAGGATAGAAGACAGTGTCCATTGTAGAGACTACCGTATGGTGTAATTGGCAAGTGATGTAGAGACGCCATCTCCTCTACAATCATAAAACCGCCAAATGGTACCATGCGGTAGTCTCGTTTTTTTTTCTCAAAGCGCGCAGGTTCAATTCACACTAACATGACACTTTTTATTTATTTTTATTCTCTTATTTATAGTCAATCTACGATAACGAATAGTTGTGCTGTGGACCCTATGAAAATTTAGTAATCGCGTTAGTAAGGAATAGGGGTTAGCGAAAAGGGAGCTAAGAAAATCTTAGGTATAGAACTCATAAACTAGTAACTTTTCTGTATAAATAGGTAGATTTCATATCCATTGCAACATTGATCACGGAGGTTCCGAAATGCTACTGAAACCTTACCTGCCTACACCTATGTTACTCAACTTATTTTCGGCGTCAAAGTAACGTTAATGTCTAACAATTCATCTAGAGAATAACTCATTATTGATGTGACTAAAGCCCAAAAGTTTACAGGTCCCTATATGGATAGCAACAATAAAATCGAGGTTCTGATTGAATATCTTACCTATCGCCTCGTTCCGGTTTACCCCTTTTCGTGGCGTTGGACCTCGGTTTCGGTATCGGATTCGCATCGGTATTAGGTTACACGGAGCAAAACGCTACTCCTTTCCACAGATGACAAGTTCAATTACGATAGAAGCACTGGAACAGTTGAAGTAAATTTAGAGAAATCATATTGTAACAAGCAATCAAGAGACTAAGATACACAATCCACCCCAAAGCCAAGACAGTCATAGCGATAGTGACAGACAAACCAACAACTCCTATATTTCTAAAGACCCCAAGACTAAACGAATGTGCCAATGTTGCCGCCCAACCGTGCCTTACCAAGGCCCCAAAATCCCAAGTTCATACATCCCGACATGATCTTACACTTCATCTAGACTAGACATCTAAGTTAGTACCGAAGCAGGTATCTACTCAGACCAATCCAAGATATCAGTATAAGGCGAAGCGCGCGCCGACACGCCGTTAACAATCAACTGCTTCGAATCGGTGTTGAAGCAGTTATCCGTGGTCGTCTTGTCGCAGACGGGGAACTCCTTCTTGTCGGACATGCGGCAGAAGGTTTTCAAGGCCGTGTTGACGAAGTCAGGGCCGTAGCTCGTGTCGCTGCCGCAGAGGCCGTCCGCGGTGTGCGTCTTGCTGTTGCTGATCACGAGACGGTTCTCGTGAGGGTTCGTCGCTGTTGCGTTGACGGTTTGGCGGGGGTATACGGTCCCGCGGCGGAATTTGGCGGATTCGGCTTCTTTGGCTGGACCGTAGGCTGTGAAGGGCTCACTGCGTGGGTTGGTGATCGGCCAGGCGGTGATGGCGCGTGGGTCGGGGTCTGTCGCGTAGTTGTAGTACTTGAAGGCTGGCTGCTGGCTGCAGAAGTAGTTTATCTTGTCCGTCTGCTCCTTGGGGTCTGCGGGCAGGCTGTCGCCTGAGGGCACGTAGAATTCGGGCCAGTGGAGCTGGAACCCGGATTGGGGCTGGTCGTTGTTGCTGTCGATCCACATGCAGTCGGGGGTTACGCCTGTGCTGCCGATGTACACGTGCGAGTAGTACCATGAGGCGCCGCATTGGCGACCCCAGTCACCAACCCATGAGTACTTGTCTTGACTGGGCAGGGTGATAGTCGCGTACGCGATACAAATGGCGTTCTTGTTGGCGGAGAAGAGGGCGTAGGTGGCTTGCTGAGTGTTGTCGCCCTCATGGCTGATAGTGACATCGGCAAATCCACCGTCTTGGATCCCGCCGGGGTCCTTAGAGAGACCGAGGAACTCCCCGGCCTCATTGTATAGACGAACGTCTGGGAGGGAACCGCCGGCGTTGGTGAGGCCACCAGGGGTGTCGAGGCCCGTGGTGATTCGGACGACAGAGTCGACCGACTTAGCCGCGGGGAAGTTGTCGATGCCAAATTGGATGATTCCGAGAGCACCGGAGATCAAACCGATCGCTTCGATGACTGCTGCTCCTGACATCTTTGCTATCGTAAGAATGAATGTGATGTTCAACTGAAGAATGAGTGAACTTTGAATGAATGTGATTTGCCTAAGCAGTAAAGAGTGTAGATAGTAAGATATCTAGAAGCGTGAGGTAGATTGTACTAGTCTCGATGTCGCTGAAGACTGAATATCTCGAGATGGGACGGACATCTCGAGGGTATTTATATTCCAAGATCTCTCTCCGATCTCTGATTCTATCGTGTAGTTACCTAGTCTAATAGCCTTTCTCCCCATTCCAAATCATCGTAGTACTGTATCGTACCATCTTCGCCAGTATCGATCAGCTATTTTTGGTGGCTTAGACTTCAGCAAGATGAAGTTGTACATAATGCCAAGTGAAGTCAAAGCAGTCCAACTGACGATCTCCAGACGTCATTAGCAGAGGTAGCCTTGCTAACTAGCTCTTGGTAGCTTGGAAAAGGTTTAATGCGTCCCTGAGGCTCTTCCAAGATCACTGATGTGACATTTTTCTAACCCCTTCCGGCTACCCCAGAGCTCCTAAGCCCGTGTTTGAGATAATCAGGCAGTCGCGTGACATTGTTTGGTTTAATGGAGGATATTATAGGTTAACTCAGGATATTATAGAGTGGTATAGTGCGTTACCTATAGTGAATTATGAAGAAGTATAATGTATGAAGGATTTATGAAACTTGAAGCTATCTAACGATAACCTAACGAAGGGCCAAGATAACGAAGGATTCTGAAGGAAGCAAGCGCGGATATCGTGGATATGCAAGTTAGTATAAAACGTCGTTTTCGGCTTGGCTCTCCTTTATGCAACCCATATCCGAATTCATGTATAACTTGGCGTATCCTTGGCGAAACTCTTGTTCGAGAAGAAGTCGACCTCTGTTCTCTGTTTCAGCCTTACTGCCATGTCCTGGCCTGTCAACCTTAAAGGGGCTCCTTCGAAGCATTAGCTCGTCAGGACCCCTGTTGAACTCGGTAGATTCCGTAGTCTGGGTCCTTGGCATCTCTTTGCGCAGCACCACTTTGACCACAACGACTGCCGACCCGGTTTATAGAGTACCATTTAACTCTCATTTCGGAAAGGGATCTGGTAAGACGCTACCAAATCTTTATTAACCCTGCTGAACTTTTGCGTGACAGGCACTTGCATGATCTTCATGATCGCCCTATAAACAAGGGTCCGTGCCAAGTTCCAGCTCTTACCCCTGATCCCCTACTGGTATGCTCAGGTCCCCTATATATAAACCAAAACCTCGTATTATCTTGGCTTTCATCCATTGTGATATGCGGAGCGATGATCGTGGGGTTATGCTAACATATCCCATATGCCGTAGCCCATGCGCTGAGCCGGAAACTTCGGGATTCCAAGAGATATCTCAATTTATAGGAATGAATCGATCACTTAGTCAACCTACTAGTCAGTCAGCCAAGGAAACAATAGGCGTTCTCGTCAAAACCGAGAAAATGTCGAAGATACCGGCTCTCATCAACCTCTCCCCTTTACCTATCCCCCTGCCTGCTTTTCGCTACCCATCATACCTACCTTCACCTTCACCGTCACCGTCACCGTCACTACCATCTTCAGTCACTCAGCTTCGTACGCCTTCGCTATCACCTTCGCCCTTAGAGCTACCACGTCCAATATGCACAAGCAGCTCACCTGGCCCTTGCTGGTCCTCGCCGCCGCCACCACCACCTCTGCCCCGGCTCAGGTACTAGCTCAGGACCTTAGCTGGACGATCGTCGGGTGTGTCGAGTTCGAGTGTCCAGCTAGCAGCTATGACACGGCAAACGACAACTGCACGATCGCAGACACGGGGTCATTCCCGTACATAGGGCTCACACGCGCGTCCTCCAACGCCTCCTCATCCTCATCCCCTCTTTCCAGCCTATCCTGGGTCAAAGGTGTCAACATCACGGACACCGCATCCCGCAACCCATCATCCAACTCCTCACGCACCTTCCACAGCTCTTTCTACCTTGGCGCGCCCCCATCCTTCTCGCTGAACGCGTCCACAGGCGCGTGCGCGGTGTTCCTGCGCGGCGCGGAGTCCTGGGATCTGTCCTTCGGCGGGAACGCCACCGACGAGGTGGCGGAGGGCACGTGCGCCGACGCCATGGGGTCGTCGTGCGTTCTCGCGCTGGTAGCACGGGCGAAAGCGTGGATTTCGGAGTATTATAGCAACAGTAGCAGTGGTGGCGCGCTTTCAAATAAGGAGCCGTGCGAGAGGCTGCGGTTGGACTTACTGGATGGGGAGTCGGAGGCGTGTGTCTCGGTGTCCAAGGGGTCATGGAGTAATTTTACTGCAGTTGGTGAGTGCAAGTCCGAATTTGCTTTTTAGGGGGCTGAAGACTTTCCTTGATTTTGGGGAGATGGCTGACTTGATTGGTGGGTGGTAGCTTTGGCCGGAGATGATGCGCCGACGCCAATTTCGAGGCAGGAGAACTCGTCGTCGACTTGTTGGCCAATTATTCCTAAGGAAGACAGCCTCACTCTTGTCGCCGAGTTCTCTGAAACAGTACGTATCAATCCTAATCCCAAGTGTTATTGAATCTAATTGGTGGCAAAATAGGGAAGTGACTTGGTCGCAGATGCGGAAGATGCATTCTGGGCAATTACGCCGATTCTCACAGTATTGTTCCCACTGGAAAATGGTGTCACAGAAAACGCCATTGACGCCTCATTGTCTTGTGTAAAAGCTATGGGGCCTGCAAGAGCATCTGTTGACACCATCAATAACGGCACCGACGATCAAGATAATGGGGCTTCAATTCCATCATCTCCGTATCCTTTCGCAGCAACTGCATCGTATATGATAGCGACGGTTCTTTTTATTTTGTATATAGCATGATAGGGATAGACATAGACATAGATAAAGGGTAATCAGGGTTATGAGTG